TTTATTCTAATATAATTAATTTATTGTTCATGAGCACTGATGACTTCGAAAGTAAATTATGCTGTAATATAGGTAGAGTATATTAGAATAATTAAATAATTATTAATTAATCAATAGAAGTATCGATTTTTCTTGAAAAGTACGGAAAATATTTTCGGAGTACTTTCTTCTTCGAAATTAACTTATATACTGACCCATTGTTCTCTAAAACAAAACTTTGATTAGAAAGTTGTTTATGATTTTTCTTATGTTAATTATGTCTGCAACCGTAATTATAATTCCAATAAAGAAAAATTCATATTATAACGTTCCGATATGAAGATTCTTTTTATTCTAATGTAATTAATTTATTGTTCATGAGCAGTGATGACTTCAGGGGGTAGAATTTTAATCTACAAGAATAACATATGGAAATTATTTTCTATTCAAAGCATGTTAATGATAGTTTATTATGGTTAAACAAATTTATATATGTTTAAACAATCTAAAATATGAAGAGATTATATTAGAGTATTTAATAATAGTCAATTATAAGAAGAAAGTGTGTATTGTTGTTTAGAAGAACGGAATATAGGTCAGTAGTACCGTCTTCTTTGAAATCAGCTGTTAAACTAGGTCATTGTCCTCTATGAAGGTTTCATTCATTCAATGTTGTTGATATGACTATCCGAACATTACGCATGTGCCTAACTAATATAATCAACCTAATTAATAGAATTTAAGATGAAAACGTTCGGATTTGTATTTTTTTGCATTTTTATGTAATTATTTTATCGCTCATGTGCAGTGACAACTTGTGCAACGGTAATAATTATTCTAATAAAGAAAAATTAATAATATAACGTTCTGATTCGAACACTCTTTTCATTCTAATGTAATTAATTTATTGTTCATGAGCAGTGAAGACTTAGATTGTTAAATTATGCTGTAATATAGGTAGAGTGTATTAGAATAATTAAATAATTATTAATTAATCAATAGAAGTATCGATTATTNGTTCGATATATCGATAGTTCGATAATCGATATCTCAAAGTTAGATAATCGATATCTCGAGGTTCGATATATCGAAATATCGATATATCGATCTATCGAAATATCGATATATCGATCTATCGCACTATCGATATATCGATTTATCGAACTATCGATATATCGAATATATCGAAATTACAATTTAACATTTTATAATAATTATATTTTTTATTATTATTTACATATATATATATATATATATATATAATTAGTAAAGAGTGAGAAAATAATAAAAAATAAATGTAATATTTAAATTCTGTTTATACTGCTAAATTATTTTTTTTTTTTTTGTTAATACTATTAAATACCAATTTACAGATGCGGAATTATCGGATACGTACGAGAAAGATAATTTAACAAATGATAAATATAAAGAACATTCTGTGTGGCAACAATTACAAATTTTATTATTACGGTCTTTTATATGTATGACGCGAGACAATGTGAGTAAAAGAGAATGAAAAAATGTATACACACGAATATATAATTAATAATCGTGTATATAAATGTTAATATATACGTATAATATATATATATTATACATACGTAGACACAAGGATATGTAGAATAATTCATTTGCATTTCAGACTATGACAAAATTAAGACTGTCCGCACATATAATAGTAGCACTTTTAATTGGTTCTGTATATTATGATTTTGGTAATGACGATAAAAAAGTTACCAGTAACGTTTCTTGCATCTTTTTCTTCTTACTATTTTTATTTTACGCCAATTCTATGCCAGTTGTACAAATATGTGAGCAATTTATTACAATTTATTATATAATATTAGTTGTTAATGTTAATATTAAAAAAAAAAAAAATTCAAAAAATTATTATTTTTATTATAAATATTATTATTAAATACTTATTATTATTCTTTTTTTTTTTTTACAATTTATTTAATATTAATATAAATATTATACAATAGGAAGAATGTGTCATTTAAAATTGTAAAACGTTAACTAGGTGTGTTAAATTTGTCATTGAAAATTATCAATACATATATTAATGTGTTTTTTGTGTATACACGCACAAGCACACACAATATACGGGATTACGTCAGTTTAGAAGGTTACGACTTTATTAATATACTTTGAATATTAAACAATTTAACGTATACGATTCTAAATGACCTTTATTATACGTATAAATTAATTACTTTTTTTTGTTTTTTTTTTGGTATTTTTTTTCATTAATATATTTTTGTAATATTTCTCTAAACAGTTCCTACCGAAGCAGAGGTATTCTATCGAGAACATTTAAATCATTGGTATAAATTTTTTCCATATTATACATCCAAAATAATCTCAGATATACCTGTACAGGTATGGGAAAAAAATCAAACAATATTATTAAAGTGACTTGGTATTTTTAAGTAAAAAAAAAAAAAAACCTTACAACTTTCATTTGTGTTTTTTTTTTTCAGTTACTCTGTCCAACCTTTTTTTTTTCTATAGCATATTATTTAACCGGTCAACCTATGGAATGGAATTGTTTTATGAAAACTTGGTTAATTTGCATCTTACATACTATTCTTGCTCAATCAGTTGGAATAGCAGTAGGTGCAGCTTTTGATACTAACGTAAGTATAATAAAAAAAGATCATTTATTAAGTCGAGTCATAAATAACTTCCGTTTTTTATGAGACAAAGAATGACGTTTCTGCGACTGATAAATGCAAGACATCTTTAATGGAGTTTTTTTTTTTGCACTCTTTGCAATTGTTCAACGTATCTATTGGATTTTGCTCTCAATATTACCTTTAAAAGGTTCATCAAAGTCGGAAATACGTTCTGTGCACTCGGTTCATCTTTTAAGATCGTATCTCCAGAACGGAATTTTACAAATCAATTTCTAACTGTCCTATCAGTTATCCAGTCCTGCACTGTATAAGCTGTATATTTTTTCAGTTGCCACCTTAGTGCTATTGCCTTGTTTCAATTCCTAAAGCATTACATGTTGAATATGCACTTTTTGAAGTGAAAACTTCTTTAGAATGGGTGTGATTTGAAAAAATGTAACGGAGCGGTAGGCGGCTATGTAACGGAGCGGTAGGCGGCTATGTAACGGAGCGGTAGGCAGCTATGTAACGGAACGGTAGGCGGCTATGTAACGGAACGGTAGGCGGCTATGTAACGGAACGGTAGGCGGCTATGTAACGGAACGGTAGGCGGCTATGTAACGGAGCGGTGGAAGGCGATGAAACGGCCGCGATACTAAATAAGAAGAGAATACAATTATTCTACATCTGATATTTTAATTGAAGTGAAAATTTCTTTAGAATGGGAGTGATCTGAAAAGTACGGAAACGGAGCTATGTAACGAAGCTATGAAACGGCTGCCATACTAAATAATGAGAGAAAAAGAGACAAACATAGGATTTAGACTGCGAGGGAATAAGACGGAATATAGCTATACAGTTTTTCCTATTCTCGGTCCTCCTCTTTATGCTATGCTTCGTAGTTATCGCTCCTGGTTGTATATGTGACCAAACCAAACCAAAAAATATTATTCTTATTAATGATTATGAAATATATAGATTAAAATAATTGTATTGTCTGCAAAATTTTACAAAAAAAAAAACAAAAAAATTGATTATAAGATACATGAGAGAAAAAGAATTAGACAACATTGTAGAATACTTTTTTTATAAATATTCAAAGACATGTTTTTTAATTATAATGTTTGCGTATTTAGGAAATTTAAACTAATTTCTCAATAAAATAGAAATGTTTGTAAATACAAGAAACTCGATTACGAGGCCTTTTTAACGAGGCTTGTTTACGAGACTCTTCTACGAGGCCTAATTAAATACACTCTACGGACTTATCGGAAAGACCCTACGGACTTATCGGAAAGACCCTACGGA